ATATAGATACTGATCAGTCCAACTCACTCATCTGACAAAAGGAACAGCTTAAAAAAATACAGGAAGGAACCCAAAGGAGATAAACATTATTTCAGTCTAGAAAAACCCTGACTCTTTCCAACACATTCCAGAAAGGACTAGGCTTGAGTGCCTCCTTCACTCTTATCTCCTTCTTAAATGACTCAGGGAGGGAAAGAGATTAAATGGCTCTATTCCAAAGTTCAGAATGATTGGTCAACCAAAACCATCAAGTCATAGCTAGGACCTTTAGTGACATATTTAAAATGCATGTTTCAACTAACACATACTGATCCTTCATACGCAGAGATTTCTATTTTCTGTGAAAATGCCTCAGTAAAGGAGCTTCTTCTTTAGCCAAAGAACCAAGAGTTCACAGACTACAAGACTAAGTTGTCAATAATGGCTGCAGAGTTAACCTAAACAGCCTAGGTAAAAACAATCTGACCCTACTTCACATCATACAAAAAAGCTAATTCAAGATGGACCACAGCTACAAAAGTAAAAGTTTCGAGAAGAAAATATGGAATATGCAATCTGGGGACAGGCAAGTTTCTTAGGATACAGAATACAATAAACATATAAGAAAAAGTTTCATCAACTGGGCTTCATGAAAGTCAAAACTTCTACTTATGTCGAAGACCAGGAGAAAAATATCTATAAAATATATCTGACAACTTTTGAGCAAGTGCCAAACTGCCTTTCAGAGTGGTTGCACCATTTTAAAATCCCACCAACAATGTCTAAGAGTTCCTTTCTCGCCACATCCTCTCCAACAACTATTACTTGATGCCCTGTTAAACTTTGCTACTCCTACTGGAGTGAGACGGTACCTCATTGTGGTTTTGATTCACATCTCTCTTATTGCCAGTGATATGGAGCATTTCTTCATGTGTCTGTTAGAAATTCCATATGGCCCAGCTATTCTACTACTTAGAATATACCCTGAGAATATGAGAACTGAGGCACAATCTGACACTTGCACACCAATGTTCATAGCAGCATTATTCACCATTGCAAGAACATGGAAACAGCCCAAATGTCCAACCACAAACTAATGGGTTGAGACATTATGGTACATTCACACAATGGAATACTATGCAGCATGCAGGAGCATAATTTTGTAAATTACTACCTAACTTGGGAGGGACTGGAGAGCATTATGCTGAATGAATTAACTCAGTCCCATAAGGATAAATATTGTATAAAACTGTTATTGTAGAATGAGTATAAGGATCCAGGAGGGGTGGGAGAGGCTGGAAGCAGAGGGATGTGGATGTGCAGGGAGAAGGGGGGATTAATCATTGGGTTACACAATTTGATGGGGGGAGGGGTGGTGAGGGAAGTTGAAAGAATTTTTTCAAATTTGTATTTGAATTTTGTAAATAAACTAGTGAAAAAAACTAGTGACAAAACGCTCTCATCCAGAATATACAATGAACTCCTATAATTCAGTAGCAAGAAGGCTAACAATGCAAATGTTTTAATGGGCAAATATTTGAGAAGATAGTTCACAAAAGAAAATATAAAAATGGCCAATAAAAATGAGAAAAAGTATCCAACATCCTTAGTCATCAGAGAAATGTAAATTAAAAATCACAATTCATGCTACTACACACCCACTGGAATGGGTAAGACTGAAAGCTGACAACACCTAAGGTTGGCAAGGGCGCAGAGTGATCAGAACTCTAAAACACTGTGGTGGGAGTGTGATATTGACAACCACTTTGGCACTTTTCAAATAAAACTAAACATGCCTCACCCACTCTGTGAGTCAGCAATTCCACTCCTAGATATTTACCCAAGCGCTATGAAAAGTCCATCAAAAAGACGCATGCAAGAAGGCTCCGAGCTGCTCTGCTCATCAGACCCAAACTGGAAATGGCCCAAGTGACCAGCAATAAAATCATGAATTGGCAAACTATAGCATGTTCATACCATGGACCTGCTGTTGCTGTGTGCTGTCTAGCCTTCAGCAACACAAATAAACAAGCTATTCACATGCACACCGCAACTGCAAGACATTTCAAAAGCATAGTGAGTGCAAGAAGTCTTGTCAAAAGACGTTAACTGGCGAGCTCTGGTGGCCTAGTGGCAGAAAGCTGCACTGTAATCCCAGAGGTGAGCAGTTCAAATCCACCAGAAGCTCTGCTGGAGAAGGGGGTCAATCTCCTCATGTACCAGTCAGATTTCATTTGATGGTACACACACAAAAAATAATAAAAATACTGTTTAAAAGGGATATACGATTAGATATTATTGTTATGATAGGAGTCCAGAACGAAGGTATCATAGTGGAGTGGACTTGAGAGGAGGGATTAAACTGAATAACAAAGAAAGAATTTTTTCTTGAACTTTTCAAAAAGAAAAGCAAATTGGGGGGAGGAGTGGGCAGGGAGAAAAGTGCAACAATGAAAGAGTGGAAATCTAAAGTCTCTGTAAACTTCCATTAAAATAAAATTTAAAAAAATAATAATAAAAATAAAATCTAAATTTTTTTTAAAAAGACACTAATTGCTTGACTTCAATGATACGAAACTCAAGAACAAGGTGATTGAAGATGGGGAAAATCCGAACAGGGATTATCTTCAGGGATGGGAGGACAGTGGACAGGGATGCCTGCGAAGGAGCAGGAGGAGGCTTTCCAGGGTGATGGTAATGGACTGTGTCTTGAGAGGGTATCAGGCTACATGGGGATCTGCACTTGTCAACAGGAAGCAAACAGAATATTTAAGATCACTGTATTTCACTGCAATTTTTTTCTTTTAAAAAATGTAACTGAACATTGAACTTGAGTGCATAATATGTACCTTGTGAAATGAATGAAGTCTGTAACTTACTTTGAAAAGCATTAAAGAAAATAAGATGGATTAGTGAACAGTGAAAGACATGGATAGGTGGGTATTGTCAGTTGCTGTCAAGTTAATACCAACAGCTCCTCAGAGTTTCCAAGCTCGTGACCTTTCAGAAGCTCACTGCCAGGCCTGCCTTCTGAAACACACATGAGGGGGTTTGATGTGCCAATCTTTCAAGTAGTGGTTGAGCATTTAATTCCTTATGTCACCCAGGAAGTAGATTTGTAAGAAGCTAAGTAGCACCAAAACTTTATAGTGCCATTTCTGTAAAACGGGACTGACATCGGGGTTGGGGGGAAACTAAGAGGGGATAAATAATGCATACTGCATTGAAACAGATAAGGAAGAGAACTGTTTAGAAGGAACATATGATTAGGTATTATTGCCATGACAATAGTCCAGAATGAAAGCTGCATAGTGGAGTGGAGGCAGGGGGGACTGTATAACAATGAAAGAATTTTTTTTTTCTATTCAAAGAGAAAAGCGAACTGGGGGGAGGGGTGGGCAGGAAGGCAAGTGTGCAACAATGAATGAATGGAAATCCAAAGTCTCTGTAAACTTCCATTAAAATAAAAGAAAAAATAAAGAGAAAAATTTTATAACCATAAAAAAAAAAGCTAAGTAGCAAAATGTTCACTGGATGATCTAGGAAGTAGGGTTTGACATGATGTTCACTATATAACTCTTTCAACTTTTTTGTATGTTTGAAGATGTACATAATAAAATACTGTTTCTCACTGTAGAGTTGGTATCAACTCCTATCTGACCCTCCAACAAGTTTTCAGAGGTTGTAAAACACAAAAAAGGAGACTGTTCGTCATTCTCCCTTAGAATAGCTGGTGGATTCAAATCATCTGCCTTTGGGTTGACAGCACAACTCCCTACCCACTAGGCCACCAGGGCTCCCTAACATAAGACTGGAGAAAAAAGTCCAAAAGAATTATAGTTGCCCAGGCACCTTACGCCTTCTTTTGCATTTACCTAACTTAGATGAAAACCATAATTGTGTTTAAATACTGAGTGGGAAAAGGGCCATATGTCAAAGGAATAAACTTGAACCTGACAAAATTTAGTAGAGAACCCAGAAATTTATTCTCTCAGATGATGAAGGGTGTAATTATTCATGGACATGGGCTTTTTTATCCTCACACTACAAGAATTAATGGGAGAGAGAGGACAGCCAGGTGGGAATGGATGGACAGGGTCATCGAAATCTGATCATGCCCAAACCAGGAATCTCCTACAGGGGCTTTTTCATTTGTCCATCTGTCTATTCTAACGTTATTCCGAATTAGGTTGATTCAAGGAAAAATAAATAAGAACATAAAGGAGAGCTCTAACCATCTTAAATGACATGACCTGAACAAGGAATCCCCAGTAATACTCAAGTTCATTCTGGTAAATGATTGATGTGCTTTGACAGACTGATTCACAACTAATTGTGCAAAAAGTTCCAAAGCCACACCATAAACAGACCCAGTTAGTCATTATAGTAAAATAAGATCACCTTTTTTCTTTTCTGCAAGAGGCTCTACTATGCTTCCTGGCATCAAAACAGGTGAACACTGGTGCTTACCCTTGATGATTGAAAATGCCTAGAGATCTGGGGAAATTGAGTGATGGGAAGTTTCCACTTGAAACCAAATTCCTGTCTCACCTCTCCCTAATCAGAGGTATTTATTAAAAATCCTACTCCTCCCCTACCTCCTGGGGTATTAGAGAACAATGGAAATGAACTAAAAGCCCAAGCCCAATAAATTTTTCCTGAAGTTAAGATCCAAACCAGCCCTGTTCACTCAACCACCTCCAGACCAAGGACCTCCAGGGTTTAGATGTGACGATAATGGCCTTGAGGAATTCCACAGGCTCATGTGCTGAATAAGCAGCAACACTGTCACATTAGATTCTGTTTAAGATACAGGTGAGTATGATAACAACACTTTTAATGGGGACCTAATGATTTTACTGACGTGGGTCTAGAAGTTTCTCTTTTAACCCCTTTGGCAGCAGTGGTGACGTGAAGAGTCCTTCACAGTGCTCTGCTCTCGGGAGGGTACATTCCCAGGACAGGCACTCAGTCCCTTGTCTTGAGGCTCTGTTCTTTCTAGAAACCAAATGAGTCCTCACCTGTGCGGCCCACTGGATCTGCGTGTGCCAAGCTCCCAGCAATGCATCGTAGAGTCCGGTGAGTTGCTGGTCCAGGGGAAGGTCACTCTGGCACAACTCCTGCCAGGTTGCCAAGAGCTGTAGCTGCAAAGACAGAATAAAAGGGGCTTTACTACGCATCCCTGCTAACATTTCCTGCCTGCTACCAGTGCAAGCAGACCAAGGAAGTTGACTCACTGCAGAGAAAAGTGGGGAAATGCCCCAAACATCATTGACCCAGCCTCTCCGCTCACCATCTAAAGCTTGAATCCACTGCCCTCCACATGTTCTTCCCCTGTGTTCTCGTCCTGTCCCACAAGTATGCCACACTTCACCCAACACACTACCTTCTCTGAACAGACCTTGCAAGAAGACAGGAGTCCATGTTCCGAGACCATGGCTTAAAGACACGCTAGCAGTGGATTTGAAGGAATTAAGATCAGCCCAGCAAACTTTTGTGTTTTTCAGTAACCTACCTCCGACAATCGTAGAAAACATGTTATGCTGTGTGCTTAATAAAACCCAAGTCTTGTGCACACCCATGTTTATTGCGGCTTTGTTCACAATAGCAAGGAGTTGGAAACAACCTAAGTGGCCATCAACAAACGAATGGATAGAGAAGCTGTGGTATATATTCACACAATGGAATACTGCGCTGCATTGAAAAAACAAGGAACTCAGGCAATAGTATTCAAAATGGGTGATCCTGAAGGACATTATGCTGAGTGAAATATCTCAGTCACAAAAGGACAAATACTGCATGGTGCCACTGTTACAAATCAGGACTGACATCGGGGTTGGGGGGAGACTGAGAAAGATGAGTTTAACAATGTATACTGCATTGAAACAGATGAGGGAGAAAACTGTTTAAAAGGGATATGTGTTTAGGTATTTTTGTCATGACGGAGTCCAAAGCGAAGGCTGCATAGTGGAGTGGAGGAGGGGGAGATTATAAAACAATGAAAGAATTTTTCTTTTACTTTTCCAAGAGGGTGGTACACTGGGGGGAAGAGTTGGGAGGGGAGAAAAGTGCAACAATGAATTAATGTAAATCCAAAGTCTCTGTAAATTTTCACTGAAATTAATAATAAATTTAAAAAGAAACAAAACAAAAAAAAAAGAGAAAGAATATAGTTGGTATGGAAACAGTCCAGATGTCCAACCACAATCGAATGGATTGAGAAATTATGGTACATTCACACAATGGAATAATATGCAACACACAGGAGCAATGATTTCGTAAATTATTGCCTAACTTGGGAGGGACTAGAGAGCATTATGCTGAGTGAAATAACTCAGTGTCAGAAGGACAAATATTGTATAAAACCATTATTAGAATGAGTATGAGGACCAAGGGGAGATTAATCATGGGGTTGTACAATTTGATAGGGGGATGAGTGAAACTGAAATAATCTGGTCTGAAAACAACGTATTAAAATTTTGTAAATAAACTTGTATTGAAAAAAAACAAAACCGAACACCCAAGTCTTGAATGGCCCTTAGAAAAACAAAAATGAGGAGAATGGAAACAACTTTTCATATTTATATTGGATCTCTCAAATCAAGATACTGAAAACAAATTTCATTTTCACGCTCCAGATGGCAATTACATGAGTTCAGATTGTGGACCGAGAGCACCCTCTACTGACTAATTTTAAAAAAGGAGTCAGAAGGTTAGGAGGCAAGTATTTTTTTTCCCTTTTTTATTTTATTAATTTAGTTTGTTTATTTTTCATTTCAATGAACATCTACAGAGATTTTGGAATTCCATTCATTCATTGTTGCACCCTTC